ACATGTGACCCAGGTATTGCCCAGCCTATTTAGTTACAACATAGACTAACAAAAATAAATCCCAGAATATGTTATTTCAAAACTTGTAAAATTATACATATTTTCAGAGTTTACACCTGAACAACCTCTTAAAACATGTTTTAATGTGAAAACATTGCACTACGCTAAATATAAAACTGACATGCAGATCATGACTGTGGAAACTTACTTTCTGATGCTCCAAGACAGGGGATTCCCCAAACATTTTAGCCTCTGACCCCAAAAATAAGTACATATAGTTATTTCACTGTGTATCAATTTATTAATAAAGACTTAAGTAATTATATTCATCTTCAAATAAATTCCTTTTAAATATCTAAATATTTAACTCAACAATTTGAGATGGTTAATGGGCAATGAATCATTCACTTGGGCACTTTATAAATCAATTTTTTATTTAATATTCAAATGATGTCTTAGGCAAATAAGTAAACACTACATTTATTTATTTCATCATGTATTTTTTTTATGGAAGAAAAACAGTCTCATTGGAATGTGCCTTTTTTGTACACCATATTTTAAACACTGAATTTTTTAACACCAAATTTTAGACACTGATTTTTTTATCTGGTGAAAATTTACTTGCAAAAAGTTTGCTTGCAAAAATTTAACCTGCAAAAAAATTCTGCAGCAAATGTGTTGACCTTTTTGTGAACTCAAGCCAAAGCATCTACGCTCGATGCAGTCTAGCAGCTTCTAGCCAATGAAATTAACTCATTTGGTTGGAAAAAAAAAAGGTTGCCGCGGGCCACTTCTTCTGGATCAAACCAAAAGCCTTGGCAGTCGGGGGTGCCGCACTAGCTGGGATCAGCTTAGTTATTTCTCCCAGTCCGATCAGATAAAAACTATAATGGCTGTTTATTAGTAGCTACCTGACGTTTTGTAATCATATCTATTTATAAAGAAAAACTACCGGTAATTCAGCTTCATTCAGCCGGGAACAAAGCTATGCCCAACTGTTGTGTCACGTGACCGAATGAGCTAATTTCATTGGCTAGAAGCTGCTCGACTGCATCAAGTGTAGATTGCTTTGGCTTGAGTTCACCAAAAAGTCAACACATTTGCAAGTGAATTTTTTGCAGGCCAATTTTGTGCAGGTGAATTTTTACCAGATAAAAATTTAGTGTAAGGATTTCAATGTGTAAAAAAATTCTGTGTTTAAAATTCGGTGTACAAAAAAGGCAATTCCGATGAGACTTCTGTTTTTCATTCATATTTTTCCCTACATACACAGCAGGGATCACAGCACGATGATTGTAAAAAGTATCTTGTGACCCTATACTTTGTGTTTTATGACCCCCCTGAGTGGTCGAATCCTGCAACCCTTAAATGTATCCATGGTTCAACACAACTGAATCAAGTAACTGGATGATGAAGTGGACTCGGGAGATATTGACTACATACGGAAGAGGTGAGTCAACCATTGGATTTAGGTGTGTTGGACCAAGGATGAATCTAAAACTTGAAGGATACCGGCCCTCAGGAGCTGGAATAGCCAACCCCATTGGCCCCTGCTGGTAAGAGAACAAAGTCCCTTAAACTTAATTTGGTGCTTCTGGAGGTATATTACGTAAAGGGACTTTTCACCCTGCCATATAGGATAAGAAATATAATGGATTAATGTAAGTCAATGACGAGGCAAATCGGCCACTTTTGATTGAATAATAAAACTTACTAAAATTAAATCTTACCACATAACATAGCAGACATAGCTGGATAACATTGTAATTGAACGTAATTGAATTTGAAATTGGCTAGGATTGTTTGCATTGGACTAATTGGATTACATGTCTATAAATATAAATTATATTTGTTTATTTTGTGTCTTGAGGTGAAATTTTCTGTGAATTGGCACAATCAGAAAGAGCTAAATTGGGCTGAAATTGCAAAAAAAAATGCATATTTATTTAGCAAAAGCGCAGTTTATTTACTGTATTCTTTGCTGCCTCTGTAAAGTTACGTTAATTGTTAGGAGGGCTTCTAACCCACGGAGTCTCCACAACCCACGCTAATGATGGCATTCGTTTCTTTTTCTATGTTACTCCTGGTGTACATTTTATTTATTCAGCAATTATCTATCCATATTTTATGGAGAACACAAACTGCTGACTGCTGCAACTACCCACAGAGATGCCATGACAAACACCTAAGATATAGACACACACACACCAACTCACATGGAGTCATAAGCTGTGGAAAATATTCAATTTGGACAGCCTCGACAAATTCCTGAGGTGGCGCTGACGTTTTATACACGCTTCAGAGTATTCCTGGCTGATCACACACAAACACACACACACCACACAGAGCCGATAACTGCGCCGAAACACTCTAACACCTTTAGGGTGGAACTGGATGGAGGAACTGAGAGACGGCGAGAAAGAAGGAGAGGGGAGACGATAAAGATGGAAGTAAGGTTTGGAAGGTGACGTGGGTCTTCTTCACTGTTTGTAACCCCTTCTGCCTTATAAATAGAGGCCAGTAACAATGCAACTGACAGGCAGCTGTAACCCTGCAGATTCATTAGGGCTTGTCACTATGGAAACCTGCAATCAGGACCAAAGTGCTAGCCATGTCTTTCTACAAGTAATGGGCCCAGGGAAATACCTGAGCTCTACCCAACAGACATCCATATGCAAACACACACACATATGCACGGCGCTGACCTTCGTCCAACCTCTCCTGCGTTTGAAGGGAACATAAATATCGCTGTGCTTGTTACCTTGCACGTACAACAGTTCTGATACACTACAGAGCAGAAACAGAGACGCAGGAGTTATAAAAAAAGAATCGCAGTTGCAAACATGTAGTAAAGGATATGGGTGGCAGACAACACGAAGGCACCAGGAGCGGGGAGGGCTGGTTTGGGTCAGAGCCAACAGAACTACTGGTGCTAGGGTTGGGTACGGCAGCTCCTCCCTTTCCTTCTCCTCCCCTCCTTCCCCTTTGTTCTCCAACTCTTCTTCCTCAACTGACACTCGTACCTTCTCACCATCATCCTCCTCATCCTCTGCCTCCTGTGTGGGTCCTTCATGCTGCTCGTGCAGGTCTGGCTCCTGGGTGCCCGTCATGGCAGCGCCGTGAACAGCCGCAACCTATGAAAGGGGGCAAAGGAGCTCCATCAGACTGTTCCTCCCCCGCAGGCTTTATCCATCTGCTTTCTTGCCCCCATAACAAACTGGAACCAGTTGTCGACAGCCTCTGTGCTTCCCTTACATCCAGCAAGCTGTGATCCAGTCCAGGAAACATGAATCTACACAAATCTAAACAAAAGTGAACTAAATGATGTGGAGGAGGAGTGCAAACAGGATCAGAGATGACAACAGGAAGCACTCATGCCTCCTCATAATAATCCTGTACACTCTTGTGACAACACCAGGCCATTACTGCTAATGCTTCTAATCCAGACCAGCGCTGAACAATCCAGACGTAAAAAAGATCATCCGTCTCTGTCAACCTTCTTTTTTCTCTGTCAGTACAGTTTTTTTACAGCAAACTCCCCAGTCAAATCAACACTGTTGCATATGCCTTTAACACTTCAGTGTGAGTTTGTAAATGGGTCCACACCTGGTGCTGTTAACTTTAATTGTTTCTGAAAGTTGGTGCCTGGAGTCCACTTTAGTGTTAAATACTGTCTCATTTTAGTTCCCAGATATTAAAGCTGTCACAGGTTTATTTGTAGAAGCATAGCGTGGTCTATATAGATGCTGTAGTCATCAATGCAAAGTTCCTGCGACTGATTTGTGACCTTGAAACCTTTGCCGTATGTCTTCTCCCTCAATAGCACCAAAAACTGTAAGGTATCATTTAATTACTCTGGCTCTCCACAACTTCTAATGATAAAAGTTAATTTGGTTGCGTTTTCTTGAAAACACTTTTATTACTATTAAAAACTGAAAACTGCATGCTGTCTTTTTCAATAAAAACACTACAAACTAAAGGGTCTGAAATAGGTGAGCTGTTCTATGCCAATCCCAGCATGTTTGGTGCTTTTTCATTGAGTACAGCATTCAGTAAAGTGTTCCCAACAGTGCAAAGTGCAAAGAGCAGCTGCTCATGAAAGCATTTTGTTTTTGAAACATGATGTAGTTTACAGAATATTCATTTTCTACCTTATTTGCGGACATATTTGGGCACAAATTGTAATATTACATCATTTTAAGAGGAGGATTTTCACTAAAATCCTAATTATAGTTATCACAGGTCCTTCTCCTAGCAGGTGTCCCCTTCAAACTAAATAAGTGTTTAAATCCCTTCTCTGCTTTGCATAGTTTTTTGTTCATTCTGTCATTTTTATGCATAAGCGAACAATCACACTTAATTAGTTCTTTCTATTAAACTACTCAGTTACACATTTGTTTTGGCCTGCTAATTCTATGTTTAAATATAAAGTGCACAGGCTCTCTTTTTTTCACATTCACTCCTATGTGGCCTTTCACTTTGCTGGTGGAACATATCAATTTCTAAGAAGGGAAAATATTAATTCTATGGTAGCAACTTCTATATAAAGAAATCAGAGTTGAGCTATAAATCTGGAACCTTTCTCTACCCAGAGTTTAAATTTGCTCTAATTTAATTTACACCTAAACCACCAATAAGTTATTAGTGTTGCAAATTTCTACAAGTCACTGTTAATACTTACTTAACTATACCTAAATGAGATTTATGGGAATAGATAAATACAAAGTACTTTTCAATTGAAAGTAAATAGATACATGGTTTTTAGACCTTTTGAGGATGAAATCTAAAAATTCTATGCATTTGTATACACCCTCCCTAATGCGGCTCTTCAGAACCACTTATCAACATATCGTTCTCAGTAAAACAGCTTGAGCTCATTTAAAATGGGTACAATTTTAAAATTCTGCCACAGATTATAAACTGGTTTGAAAACTAAACTTACTGGGCCAATCTCCCACATGAATATGTTTATTCTAAACCATGGTTTTCCAATTCCCTTGAAGACTTGAATTGAAGACCCCTAGGCTGTTCCTCTGTAGCTCTGGTTGGGGGGTAACGTACTTTATCTAGCAGGACCTCCACCCAGTCTCCAGATTGTTCCTGTCTCTAAAACATTTTTTAATATGACTAGTCTGACTCCATGAATGATGACACTTCCCCACAGTATGATGCTGCCACTATAACGTTTTATAGTGCCTACTTTTGAACGTTTGCTGTGTCTACAATATGGTTAGTAGTCATAGCAAACAAGACTTTTTATGGCTTTCTTTTGACAACTACTTTTTTTGCCAATCTATATAAAGTCCAGATTTTTCAGAACTCATGACTAACAAATGTCTATTTCCCACCTGAGTTAAAGAACTCTGTGGCTCCCCTACACTTACCATGGTTCTATTTCCTGCTTCTCTGATTAAATCTATCTTAAACATCCCTACTCTTGTACCATAACCCAACTTGAAACTTATTCAAAAATCTATTCCTATGTTTGTTGGTCATTTTGATACTGTTTAAACAGTAATTTCTATTTATTCTGGAATTAAATCTACACATATTAACTATATTTGGTCACTTTTCACCGCACTAGATTTCAATGATATGGGTATTACAGTTAAAGGGCTGATAAAAACAATTGCATGCCACCGTTTTTAGTTTTTTTTTTTTTTTTTTTGCAAATAGGTTCATTTTAGTTCTCTTTCACAGTTGCATGCGACTTTGTGTTGGTCTGACACATAAAACCCCAGTGAAAAACATTGAAGTGAAAAAGTAAAAAGCAGAAGGTTTTGCATTGCACTATATCCATTAATCTGCCTTTATGATAATGGCCATGATGATGATGAGAGTTATCATTTTTCACTGGCTGCTAATTTAAGATAAAATTAACTACAGTGACATTGATGAGCTACAGCAGCCTAAGGTTAATTTTTAGAGGAGCTACTGGAAATTCCTCAAAGCACTGATACAATCATGGAAATGTCAATTTGAATGATGTCAGTTTGAATTTCAGATTGGTATAATTTCCTTTTCATATTTCTTAAACTTCTGAATGTATTGGGTTGGAAAAGATGTAAGGTGGATATTGGCAGCAATAATAATATTTATTTGCAACAAGAACACATAGTGCAAACAATGACTACATTTGGTCCACCAAATGCTCCTTCCATCACTTATTTAGGAGGAGGGCACTCAAAAAGCGCAATTTTCTTGTGAAGCTAGAACAAAAATCGGATTTTTTTTGGGACAAAATGGCACAGGCAGCATTCTCTGGCATCTGTATAAAAAAAAAGTCCTGCATGGCTGGCAAGTGAGCTGGAGGTTTAAAGAGGAGCCTTTCTGTGTGTACATGTTTGATGAAAATAATGAGATTGTATCCGCCACTACTCCTCTCTTTTTCACTCAATTCACTATGGAAACTTAGCTTGAACCATTTGGAGTCCAGAGCTGCACAGTTGAGAGCTTTTTTTGTTGTTATTTAACAGCGGCTATTGGGTAGACATCAATTAACCAGCAAATAAAACAGGGAAGTAATTTCTCCTACCTGAAAATGGGCTGACAGGCCCTGGAAATTATTTTTAAAACTCATTAAAAGCCTCCCTTGCGGACAGTCCAGCCATGATGGAATTAAATCACCCTTTGAATCTCAAAACAAGCAGTATACATAATACAGCACTGTCTATCCTTGCATCAACAAAACCTATGAAACCTTATGAGCTGTTTTATGTGTAACGTGGATTCATTACGCATGCATTTATTGTCTATATTCCTTAGCAGGAACTGAAGAGGCTCACGCTGAGAAAAAAAAAGGATTATCTGCAATTAAAAAAGGAATAGAAAAGAAAAGCTTTTCATCCAAATGAATGTATTCCAGGGGACCAACATGCTAAAATGTATGATCCGACTGTGAAGACAAATGTAGTCAGCTTAGGTCAAAAATTAACTGTTATTCTAATTAAAACAAAATTTCTTAAAACAATTCTTCATACTTCATTTATATTAGGCTAAATAAGATACACAATGTGATTCTCCTCATAATCAGGTACATTTGAATTTTAAAAATCTAATTTTGTGGAGAGCGCAAATGACAAAGAGCGACATCACATCTAGGAAATGTCTATTGTGCAAACCCAGTCAGTGCTGATCACGGGACAGCGCAGCATTAAAAGTGCAAATAAAGGCAGCAGAAATGGTAAAAACTTTGCCAGTGCTTCCTACCGGTGGGCAGCGTCCATCCACCAGCCTCACTCACTCCGGGTTCGCCGTGCGCCCTGAGCGCCAGGAGCCCCGGTGCTCCATCAGAGAGCCGCTCAACGCTCCTCTGCTTCCTCCTCCCGCCCCTCTGCCACAATCCAAACTCAGCCCGTCAGCAGGATGACGAAAAAAGATCAACCAGAGAATGACGAATAGATTACATGGGCAGTAGACGCACAAGTTTTACTTAAAGAAGTGTAATTAAACTCAGGGTTTCCCTCCCCGCGCGTCTGGACGCTCAGCGTTCAGGTGCAGGAGTTTAGGCGCACCGGGGAGGAGAGCTGCGTCAAGCCATTCAGACACAGGCAGAACAGAAACACATGGCTTTTACCTTCAAAATAAGACTATCTTATCCAGGAAGTTTCATCCTACAATCCACATTACTTTTAACTTTTAAAGAAGCCTTAAAGGTGCAGATGTTTCTTTTTTTGGAGTCTTTTTCGTCATGAATACAAAACAGCGCAGCTGCTAATGGCCAGGTTTAAATTTGGCATCCAGCTTTCAGCTGTTATTTATCATGACTAAAATATTTAAATAGATCTGTCTCCCAAGATTTATAGAAATTACAAAAAGTAGCCTAGACTTTTATTATGTAGACATACAGACTAAGGCAGGCTAAAACAATGAGCCCCGTGTCCTACAACATTACATTTTGCTTTACTGACTAAGGTCCCTGGTTTAAGCAGAAGTTTTTTGGTCCCTATTTTCAAAGCTTTGTGGAGAAATGGTCTCAATGTATTGTGGGATCTTGTGGGGATTTGTTGATAAATGTGTATACATTGGCGCACTTATATTAATGTTTGTTACACTGGGGGAAAAAATTTAGTCATTTTTTCTTAAAATAAGTGCATTGAGGAGGTAAGTGAGACACTTTGCCAATGGAACAAGGCCATTTACATTTAAAATAGGAAAAAAAACTATTTCATTGTCTTATTTAAAGTGAATATTATCTAATTAACTTATTTTAAGAGTAAAAATACTCATTCCATTGGCAAATCATCTTATTTACCTACTCAAATTGAAGGTAATACAATTAATTTAAGACATTTTGACTTATTTCTAGATTGTTTTTGCAGTGTACCGGTAGCTAGAATTTGGAAACAATTGAACTCTAGATAAGTATTTTTTTCTTAAATGGTGGAGGTAAAAGAGACATTTTTCCAATGGAACAAGACAAATTAAACTTAAAATAAGAAAACACAATTGCATTGTCTTATTTCAAGTGCATATTATGTAATTATCTTATTTTAAGAATAGAAATACTCATTCCATTGGCAAACTATGTCATTCATTTACATATTCAAATTAAGGATGAACACACTTAATTTAAGAAAATTTTACTTATTACTAGATTGTTTTTCCAGTGTAGATATCATGTTTTCTGTGGTTACTATACAGGAACTACATGAGATCCATGTGGGCTATTTGGGAAAATTGATACATTTTAATATTGCCCTCTGGATTGTGAAAATAGGTTTGATATAAGTGGACCCCATCCATTTTCAAGTTTCAATACCTACTTATGAAAAAAATGAAAGAACAAAGTAAATATCACAAAATTGGTTGTTTAAAGGTTTCAAAGTGGCCTCCTTTTGAGTGTCCAATTTAATAATATGGTGATATTTATTATTTGGTGGTATTTGTCTATGATAATAATAACAAGGTTTTTCCCCTTTGAACTTTGTTAAGTTAATGTACATAAAAGCACAAAAAAAGACAATGGCTGTGTCTGAATGTCCTTGAAAAGTAGTGATCATCCATGATCATTAGATGAGCAGATATATCCTCGCAAAGCATTATGGGATTTGTTGTCACAGTAGCCTGCTGTCACCATAGGCTGTTGCTACCCGAGAGCACCGATTATTAACGAGGATGGTGCAGGCACCACGCGGTGGAGGCGGAGTCACCAATGAAGAGCAAAAAGTAGTGATTATCTTTGCAAACGGTAAGTTAAATGAGTTCACTATAGCGTTCACTATATAGTCCCCGCTCTATATAGTAACTGAGGGATTTAGGGGTTAGGTTGGACATTAGGACACAGCCAATGTGATTCCCAACTGTAATGTATCATATGGTCACATTATGGTATGTAATGCATGAGACAAACAGGTGATCTATGAAGAAGGTTTATAAGCTTCTGCTCCTCTGTATCAAAAGGAATCAGCTTAGTTTATGGATGCCTACTGGAAAACCTCTTACTGGAGGTCTTTCATTTACTGGAGCGTCTTTAGATTACACCTGGCTTTAGAAAGCCACAGAATGAGCCAGAGAGTGTTAATAACAAATTGGATGTTTTGAAATGGTTACCTAAAAAACACAATATTGGAAAAGTGTAAGTCATTAGGTAGATGAATGAATAAAGCGTGATTGTTCAGAAGCTTTAAAACATTAGCTAATCTCAGAGAAAAAGTGAGGAATTCTGTCTACTACAGTGTTTGAATTTCACTGTTGCTACTTTTCTGAAGTCAGTGTTTTTTTTCTTTCCCGACAGTCATGTGAATTTTACACTTTATGCCGCAGGATCGGTAGTTAGTAATTCCTTGTCCTCTGAAACCTTTCAGAGCATGTAAGCAGATTTGAAGGTATTGTGCTAGTGCTTTCTGGGTTTTAGTGAGCTGACACCCCTGCTGAGTGTGAAGCCAGAGTATCATCTCACACATGACAGCCCTCTCTGCCCACACACCCACTCGCTTGTGCTGTCCAGGGTCGCTGACTGCTGAGATAACTGGCTGGGAGAGGCAGGATGAGGGATACAGGGAGAGCGGTGCACCATCAGGCGGAGCAGATCGAAGGGACAAGTCACATGCTCTGACTCGCTCTGTCAGTGTCAAGTTATGCAATATTAAGAATAAGCCTCTACAGTCTAAACTTTCAGAATAAAACATTTATTGGCAAGGACAGGCTCATCTTATTCAAATTCTCTCACCAGTAGCTTATGTCGGTACAAAAGATACTCTGGTCTCCCTATTATGCAGTCAAACTGGGTAGTTCAGCAATTAAAAGGGTAGGCCTTTGACTTTACAAAAATAAATGTTTTATTCTAGGCAAAACATATCTTAAAAAGAACACCGAGGTAAACCGAAGTCCAAGAAGGATCTGTGGACTGTGGAGACAAGGATTTTCCACTCTGAGAAGAACAATCTGACATCTGCCTCAGGGACTCCTGCGCCTCTTAATCTCTTCCTGATTGGCCCCAATGGGCTGCAGCTGTGCAGAATAACCTGGAAGAGAGCTGAGGCGCATCCCATAAAAGGCCTGTGGACGTGGCAAAAGCAATATAAAAACAATATGAAATAAATTGTTATTAAAGTAGTAATTGGTACAATTAGAGAAATAAAAAGGTTCACTTTGTTGTAAGTAAAACAGGAAATACTGTTTAGCCTTTCAGACCGGATTTTTTTCTGCCATGAAAAACAAAATTATACATCAGATTTTATCCCCTTTCAATTGGGAGATATTTTTATTTGCTTGCCTTTTTTGTTCTATTTTTATCTCTATCCAACACATCCATTAGGATGTGCATTTCAACTACACATCTATATCACATTTATATCAAATACTTTTATACTATTTAAATGAAGTATTTTCCAAATAACTCTCATGACTAGTACTTCAATTGTTTAAGAGAAATTTAAATAGACAGTCATGAGCATCATAAGATGTTTTAAAGCAAAACACTAAAGAGCTAAGGGTGGTTTTAAACTTTTGCAGGCACACTATTTGTTAAAGCAGTCTGTTAATTCATGTAAAATAAAATAAACTGTAAAACCAGAGCTCAGTTATATGAAACATTTTTTGCAAAACATTCTCTCATCTTTAATATATTAATCTCTGTAAGGCATCACTGTGAGAATTAAACTTGTGTTGAAACTGAAGCCTGCGGATGAACAGGCAGAAGATCCTAAAATAGCACTTAAGTTACAGTACAGCTCTTTCTTTTTCTTCTGGCTCCAAGAGATTCCCAGATGGTCTTCTAGCTATACCTGAGTCCCACTTTGGGAGCAGAAGAGAGCCCACTGCAGGTCTCTGCAAACAGCTTAAAGGGAGCTATAGTCTTAAACACTCTTCTAATGACATAATATTCACACAAGCTTCCGAACCAACCTGAGGGATGTTTGCTTAGTGTTTAGAGTCAAACAGAGAGAAGCAGTAATGGCTCCGGTCATTTAAATGCTCATTAGAAGCAGGAAAACGAGTATGTCCTGACTTAACACTGACGAATGGGTCTGTCCCAGAGATGACTGCTGGGTCAAAGACAAAAAGAAACAATAATTCCTACAAGAAATGTTCTTGAAAAAGCTGTTGTTGCACAATGAACAGATTTAACCTTAGAGTGTTGAGCAATTTACGATTTGTCAGATCTAAACTTAAAGTTTAACAAATCTCTAAAGGGATAGGGAGTTTAGCTACGATGTTACATAAAATTAATAAAGAAAACTGCAAAGCTGCGAGCAGGGAGCAAACTGGGTGATATTAACCAAAAGAATGATTATTCAACGGATGATCTCTGCCGGAGCATATTTTGCATGCCGTCACCTATGTAGCACAGCTGATGCCTGTCTGAAAGAGTGGCATGAGGAGCTGGACAAGCAAATAACCTGCATCTCCACAGCAGAGCAGCTCACAGCGATAGATTTACAGTAATGTCATGATCTCTGTTTTGTCTTATGAAGATGCATCTAACAATTTCCTTTTACTTAATTGATTTAGGTCATCCAAAATATTTCTATCAGAAAAAAGGTTATCGTCTTCCTCATCTTTCATTCAGGACCAGGTCACAGGGTTAGCAATCGCCACAGACACTCCCAGACTTCCCTCATCGCAGACACCTCCTCCAGCTCAGCTGAGATAAGCCTGAGGTGCTCCAGGGCCAGCCAAGATATATAGTCCCTCTAGCATGTCATGTGATAGTCCCCTGGGCTTCCTCCCGGTCAGACATCCCTGGATCACCTCCTGAGGCACCCAAGGGGCATCTGACAAGGCTGCCACCTCAGCTTACTCCTCGCGATGTGAAGGAGAAGAGGCTCTACTCTGATAATGACAGAGTTCCTCACCCTATCTTGAAGGGAGAGCCCAGCCACCCTGCAGAGAAAGCTCATTTTAGATTCTTATATCTGGGATCTTGTTCTTTTAGTTATGATCCAGATGTCATGACCATAGATGAAATTAGGAACATTGTGTGTAAAATAGAGAACGCTGCCTTTTCGCTCATCTCTTTCTTCGCCACAACAGACCAGTGCAGCGTTCGCA